GCATTTGAATTGAGATCGTGGCTGAAGGTGGAGGCTAAGCGGGATGGAGATGGACAAAGAAACTCGGACACGGACGCCACTGTAGTCGGCTCCCAGTCATATCAACAAGTGTATCCAGCCAAACGTGTTCGTAGTCTTTCGGACTCCAATCAAGGAGCCGAGAGGCTCCAACCGAGGCCAACTTCGAACTAAGGGTCTTCATTTAACTTGACCAAGTCATTGCTTGGCCACCTTTCATTCACACCCACGGCGCGCAAACAACGCACGTCGCGGGAGTCGATGGATTGGCATTCGCAACACGTGGCCTAGTCATCGGAGCCTGGTACGAGATGTAACGGAGCCGAGCGGTTCACTTCTTCCTGTGCAATAAACAAAGCGTCGAACACGCTCATTGCTCATGCGGTGTCCTCACCAGATATGGGCCGAACTGCGAAGGCACCGATTGTCGAACGTAACTTGCCTCTTTACGTCTGCCGATCTAATGGGCCAGGTTTCACAACCTTGCACAGGGTTGAACGGACGGCTGCATTGTAAACTCTACCGTTCAGTGACAGAGTGATGTCCTGCGGGCGCCATACGTGGCGAAGGTTAGCAAATGCGCCCCGAACTTTAGCTATACGGCTTGTGATCTCGTCTTCAATTCCAACGGCGCTGTTACAACTGCCGACGTAGTTGAATCTTTGAACGACTTCTAGCTGATCCCCACCAAGGGTCAGCGCAGGTGGTAATCCCTGTCAATCCTTGGAAAAAACGTCGCACTGTGAGGGAGCAATGCATAGCCCGAAAACCATGGATTTCGCAATTGCTACTACGTCGATTACTTCTGCTGCTACTCGTGCTTCTCCATCACACGCCAACTTTTCTGTTTTTGATAATCTACAACCTGTTGAATCTACTTCCAATGCCCGTCTGGCTGATATCCCAATCATCCGGCCATCAGCTATTCTTCGACCCCGTACTTCATTCCGTCTGGCAGCGTTCAATGTTCGGACCCTCCTACAGGTTGGACAACTGGCTGGTCTGGCGCGCACTCTAGAGTCCCTCGCCATCGATTTTTGTTGCTTTTCAGAGACTCGATTACAGGATCCTAGCAGCGGGGTTAAGTTGTCGTCCCCAGTTGCTCTTGAGACCACATATTACCTACGTCTGTCTAGTGACATGGAGGCAGCAACAGCCGGCTTAGCTGGTGTCGGTATCGCATTGAGTGACAAAGCGGAGGCTGCATTACTCGAGTGTTTTCCAATCGACAGCCGGCTATGTGTGGTTCGGCTTCAAGTCTCATGTAGAATCAACAGACATCGTGAAGAGAGGCGACATTTGTTTGTCGTTTCTACATACGCTCCAACCGGTCTCAGCTGTGCATCGGTTAAGGGTGAGTTTTATCATGGTCTCCACAACCTTTTGAACAAGGCCGAAAAGTCAGATGGCATCGTCCTTGCCGGAGGTCTTAATGCACGGGTAGGTCGCCTGCTTTCGTGCGCTTGATGAGAGCCGTTCTGACAACGGTGATAGGCTTCTTACGTTATGCGAGGACCACCGTCTTTTTCTCTCAAGTACGAACTTTAGGCATACCAGAAGACGCGCAGCCACCTGGCGTCCTCCTTCACCAACGCAAGTGTGGTCGCAAATAGATCACATTGCAATCAGCTTTAGATGGCGAGACAGCGTCCGGGGTTGTACGTCGATTTGGTCTACGTACCTCGATTCAGATCATGCTTCGGTCTGCGCAGACATGTGCATGCGCTTCGGCGGCTCCTCAAAACGAAAGCTCCATACGCTCGACATCAACAAATTAGCTAACCTCTCTACTCGATCACCTTATCAAGCTTCCTTACCGCATGCATTCATTGGTACTCCTCCTCGAGACATCGAAAATCATTGGACTTTCCTGCGTGAGGCGATGTAAACTTCCAGTCATTCAATCTGCGGAATCACAAGGCACCCTCGGAGTTGCTGGATTTCCGTACACACTGGAATTGTTTGATCGTCGTAGAGCTATCCCAGCCGATTCAAATAGCAGTGTATTGCGTCGCATTCTCAGCCAATAACTTAAGCAAAGCCTGCGTGCTGGTCGCGAAAGTTGGTGGTCCCAGCGCTCCTCAGAGATGGACAGGGAAACCCTCTCTAGAAACTTTTGCAAGCTCCTCCAGGTCATTCGGGTCACTGGTCACAAAGGGCCTGGTGTCATTGAGGTCATTTGCGAGGTTGATAAAACGCCGATAAGTAACTTACACAGGCGTATGGGCCGCTGGGCTGAAAACTTCCGCACTCAATTCAGCTGGCCTTATCCGCCGGCGAGCCTAAAGACAATATCTAGTTGTGCGCCTTGGAACGTCTCGTTGGGAAAACCCACCGAAGCTGAGGTCTGCCTTGAGCTCCAACACTTGAAGCGATTCAAGTCTGCTGGCCCAGACGGACTTCTTCCAGAGCTGTTCAAGTTCGGGGGCGAAGTAATTGTCAACCAGCTAACATCTCTGTTCTTTAAGATCTGGTGTGAAGTAACTGTTTGTAGCGATTGTACATTTCTCTCTTCCCAATTGTATCTTCATATTCCCATTTCCATTATTTATTATTCAGTTTTGTTTTAACTGACCAACAACCGATAAAGAACTTTTTGGGTTTCGATTCGCCTTCTGGTTTCGGCTACGCGCGTCGTGCTGTTGATCATCGGTCTGCTTGCCTCGTTCATCGATCATCGGAACTACCGCGTCGAATTATTGTGCCGACTAAGTTTGTCTTCCGACCGGATTGTGCGACAAACTGACAACCTACCGAGGATCGTGCTTTACCGAAGGTCAGGGTTGGCATTCTTACTTTATAGACTTGGAGTTCTTTTATGTACTTAAGCCCTTTAAGTTTGGCCTTTCCACTACAAGTTCTATCCCATGTCAGACGGAATAACTTCCGATGGTTACCAATGGCAGTGGCCACTTCCATCTCTGACACACGATGAGACCGCCAAGCTTCGCGGTCTCTCTTCAGGCTTGCACGGAGTTTTGCCCGGAGGATTTTGTGAGTCTCATTGTGTTCGCTTCCAGCCGGAATGCGCCGGCAAGCACCGATAAGTTCCAGAGACTGCGCGGAGACCCAATGTCCATGTTGGCGATTAGACTTACCACATGAGGATTTGCCTGCTTCCCGTAAGGTCTGGTGAACATGCGACCAGTGACCTTCAGCCGTATTCACTGTGCGCTTACTCAGTCAGAATGCCAGTGTACTTCGTTATGCATTCAGAACATCTGGTTTCGCCAGTTGGCTAGTGTCTATGCGCTCAAAGGTCGTCTAGAGCGTCCGCCAAAACGCACCCGCAAATCAGCATATACAAGTGCATGATCAATGTCCACAAATGTTTTCGCTTATCCGCCCTGCTGTATGCAGCAGATAAGGTGACCCTTGATAAGCTGCGCGACCGTCGATGCAGGATGTAGTTCAGGTTTGATGGAATGGTCATAGTCGTACGTGGGCCGAGATACTGCCAGGACGCCAAGACCTAGATAGGAAAATGATTAGGATCCTCAACCAAGGCCTATGGCTCAAAAGCCTGTCCATAAGGCAGCGGATGTGGCAACGATTCAGTTTTACAGAAATGGATGCCACCTCATTCCAAATCCCTAATCTGGAGGACCAGGATACGGAATTCGTCTGACCTCTAACCATTGACGAACCTGATAGGAGTAGCTCTCAAGAGGCCCGATGGCCCCACCCAGTATAGCTCAATGGGTCGACGAGGCACGCAAGCCGTCGCACCAAGTTAAGTTCCAGTCCCGTTGCGACGGATTCAGGCGACTGGAGTCGTGGCAACCACACTCATCGCGCTTCGGTGCCCGAATAGTGGTTGTTTAACTGACACTGAACTGAACTGCATACTTATAAGTCACAGTCCACCTTGATTCATCAGCGACAATCTGATTCTCAATACTGGTCACACTTCACCTTGGAACCTTCTATTCCTTTATATTTGGTACTTGCCGGGGCGGATTAAAGCACGATGTTTCTCACTGCATCGATTGTCTTTCTCTCTGTTATACCATCGACGGTACGGCAACTGAGGTTTTTGAGTAGGTTCATCGCAGCTAGACTCAGTCACCACATCAAGAAAGGTGCTAGACGGTCTTTTCGTCCCAGTGCAATTTGTCAGTAGCGTGCATCCGCTGAATCCTTTCGGATTCGAACTCATGATGTTACTCTAATGTGTCATTGAGTATTGCCACTGGACCATGGGTGACGGCGGCTGACCGCCATGTCTGATTTTTAACTGCGCTATAGTGCGCTTCGTCCTCCACTGTCGTGCATGTAATGAACGTGTAAAAGACAGGGCTGACCCCTAGAGTTGCGACTTTACAAGCCGCCACCAATCGAAGCGGTATGTAAACTGCTAAGGCAATTACCGAGTATTATGAGGGTTTATTGCGTTTTTGTGAAGATTCGTTGTAGTTAGACTCAGTTAGACAACCACCACGCATCCAGGAAAGCGCTAGATGGCCGTTTCGTCTCATTGGGACTTGTCAGTATCGCGCATCCGCCGAATCCTCTCAGATTCAAACACATGGCGGTGTTCTGCATCGTCACTTATGGCTCAGTGGCATTAGTCGCTGACTTTTAAGAGTAATGACATGGGTTCAAATCCTCGGGTTCGATGGATGCGCTCTACTGACAAGTCCCATTAAGGTTAAACGGACGTCAAGTGCTTTCCTGGATGTTTGGTGGCTGTCTGACTGAGTCTAGATGCAACGAATTTTCTCAAAAACCTAATAACTCCCGTACTACTCTTCAATAACGACTGAGGTGTTTCTCACCTCTAACTAACATGTAAAGGGACGATGATGATGATCCTCAAATAATTGACTTTTTACGCTCCCGTTTTCGAGTACATTAGTTCATGTCTGTCCTATATCTCATCCTTTAGTCTTATTTATTGCTGGAGTGGGCTGTTAGTACCGTTGCAAGCGACTTATTTTTGTACTGGTTATTTTCTCCCTTTATCACAACTGTTCCATCAGATCTCACTTCCCTAGAGGTGGACCACGCATTGAGTCATCTTGGTCATGCTCAGGGTTTGGTTAACCTTCTTCGCGGCTCGGTTTTCTTGGCCCGTAACCGATGTGTTGTATTACTCCCGTTGGATGTGCTGGACAAGGTATGTCAGAACCTCCCAGAAAATCTCACAGCCTACTACAGGTGTATACTAATGCCAATACTAATGAGCGCTGTTTTGCTCTGTTGACCCGAAATATCTTGCCCACTAGTTGCATCGTTGGTTCCCTCCCAACGCCATGCGTTTTTGTCAACTTAGAAATTTATTCGTCCTTTGTACTGATATTTTCCACTACGACCATTCTCGACGGAATCAGGTTATGTCATCATGAACTTCACTATTGCACTGGATGTCCCTTTTGCCGGACATAAATTCGCATTCTATCCACTCCTCGCATATCTGCATTGCGCTGCGGTCAAGAGGTATACAATGTTGTATCGTGACCAATGTTCTTGTATGAATCAGCGACTTGACCACTTCATAGCAAGAACATTAAAAAGTCGGTCATATTTGACCGTCGGTATCTACGCGCTGCCACCCGTATCTGGCGAAAACAACACATGCATAGTACTGCGCTTTGTCGCTTGGTGTTCGACATGTCCTGTGATTTAACACCATACCGTCTGTCTCAATCAAACCGTCAATATTAGGTTAGAGCCTTTGAGTACCCAGCAGCGGCATTCTTTGGCATGCTTTGTTTGTCATTACCGTGAGGATTTAGATGGTGCTTCAAAAGGTCCGCCTATGAACTAAACAGAAACTATGGTGCGATTGACTGAAAGACTTGGTCAGCCTGCCGCACGCTTTCTTCCTGGGTGCGACCCAGGGTATCATCCACACCGGCAGTTAGATAGCTTGTCTGGCTTGATGCATTGATATTCAATAGATATGTTGTTGTATTCAGTCTGTTGCGTTTGGGTTCATCGCACTTTGATACTGGGATCGTAGTTGAATGACTTAGTTGCCATGTTTTCGTCCATTCGGCCACTTCTGTTGTACACAGCTCACCCAATCGGCCAATTAGCTCTGATAAGTGCTTCAAGTCAAGTCACTATAGGCTTTATTTACCCGAGTTGGTACATTTCCAGCATTCTACAGTAGCTACCGCAGATGTACTAAAATAGCGACGTTAAAAATGCACATTGTATGGATGGGAGAAATAGCATGGGGTGCGCAGGTGTCATCCGAATAAACGGGCCCGTATATGCAGGTGATAATTTCCTTTGATAAACTAAATCATTAGTATTTGCTTCTTGCTGAAGATACACTGTCGGAGCCCAGTTTGTCAATCAGGACGATGATTCTTCAAGTTACGGAAACTGCTTTTGATGATTTCGCGTAGTACATGCAACATTTCAAAGTTCTCTTTCGAATACCCAACACAGTACAACGCTGGTGACCTTGAAATATTGCAACCGAAAAAATGTTAGCCATATTTGCTGGGAACCGTTAAATCTGCGGCGAAAACGATGTTCTAATGAAAAAGAACGGCCGATTTAAAGGTCCCACCATCTAGTTGTTGACTGTTGCTCTCCGAATTCGCTTGCATACCACTATCCGGTAATTGGTGTCTTAGTGTATTGAATTCTGATTTCATATCCTACTCTCCAGAGCACAACAGCATGTATGGTAGTGACGAACCGGGCCATCGCACCTAGTTGCGCGGTCATACTACCGTTACATCTAGTCAGGAAACCTATCGCCACTACCCTAATATCTCGAACGTAGAAAATACCAATCGACGCTATTCCCCACGCTTGGCGTTTGACCAGCTGAGTATGTTCGTTTATATACCGTTCATCGCACTCAGCTCCCACTGGAAGGAAACGGTTTTCTAGTGCTTTTCTGAATGTGTGAACATCTGCCTAACTGGCTGTGAGCTGACTGCGATGAACAGTTCTTAAGCGACACCAAAATCTCTACCTCACTATAAATCTGTTCATGTTTAGTTCCTCTCGAGCTCCACGCACTTCTTAGTCACTCGCTTTTTTCACTTGGCTTCCGAAATGATCCTTGGTTGATTGATTAATAATTAACTTAAAAGTAACATGATCAGTCCACAGCTTTGTAACCAACATATGCAAATTTATTAAGAACCTTTAGGATTCCGAACTCAAATATCTCGTCAGCCCGTGTTGGTGTTTCGACTGGTTTGCTCTAGAATTTGGACTTCGCCGCTCTTGGCAGAACGCGTCTATTTTCTGGTAGCCTGGAATCACACGTTTTGTTTTGTTTTTCACTGTAGGTTATCTTGTAACGTGATCGAAGACGGATTTTGTGTCAATTTTTGTTAGAACTTATAGATGCCGCCCAACAAAAGTTAGACCACGTCGTCTAGACGTTGATGAACTCCAGTCACCTATGCCTTCAAACGTTTCTGTCGCAATTACATTCTATTTGATTATGCTTTATTGGTATGTCTAGTTCTTACGAACATAAGCCATTTCTTTATAGTACTCCTACCTTTTGTTATTTGGTCGATTTTTTGACTACGGCGTTTTGTGTCTATGCATCACTCAGTCTCCATCGTTAGCAACGTTCCAAGAATACTGTTTCTAGGAGATCCGTAAAAGTAGGGATTTCCAAACGATGCTCGCATTTATCAACTTCAAAAAGCTATGCTCAAAGGAGGATGCAGTTGTAATAGTCGAATGTGATGAGTCAAGTGTCAGATTTTGGCTTAGTGCACGGTAATATCTTGGGCATAGTGCTAACCACTAAAGAAAACTGGCTAGCTGTAAGGATGGGCATGACCACTGAAAGTGCCCTCAGCTGGATGGGGCTCGTTTGTGGTCCGGCGGAGCGGGTTATCATCCCCCGGCAGCAGGACATAGCATTTCGTCGAATTATATGTGGCATCAACAAGGGTGCTTGTTGTGGTCCGATCCGCAACGCGGAAGCCTTTCTTACCTCACAGGTCTAACCTAAATTGCAGCAAAATGTAATTTTGGCTGCGGAATGAGTTCACGGCTCTCTGGCGACTTCTTGGAGACTGCTTACCCTGTCTTGGGAGATTCAGAGCAGTTAGTGTGAATTTTTAACAGTGGGGAATATCTAGATCAACATAGTCAGCGGCAAGTGGGTTGGTTAGTTTGCACCCTATTTACCCGAAGCTCATGACTTTGAGACGCACATAAAAGTGATGGCACCATTTCAAATCATATATATTTATGTCAGCAAAAAATCTACAAATCTATGCAGTGCCTAGCACGAGCGTAATTCATTCTTACATGATCGACCGTTTATTGACAATGCTGGGGCATCACTCAGGTTTGTACCTCGGATACAATTCGCTCCAAGAAGCACATTTTTTACTGGCTCTTGCATAGTACACTCTCGGGATCTCCCTGAAGCATTTCGGAATATTGCTTTCGCATGGCTTACTTCACAAACGCTTTTATGATGCTTCAGATGCCCTCAATGCGATTCGGTGATAGAGAATATGGCGCCAGACGCAGGAGGCTGCCCGAACGGTACGGATCCTCCTGGATCGAAATCGATTGCATTCATCTACACGGCTTGTCTCACTTCGGCCTCAGATTTGTTGCAGTGCCAAAACGTAGGCTTTTCTTCGCATTTTGTCTTCATGTGTGTTGGCTGATTCCGGAACTGCTCGCAGCTTCTTCATGGTGGTTATCCCTCCATCCAAGTACCGTATAATTGTGTTCACACTTACCTCAATGTTTAACTCTGCGTTCGACTGCAGACATAGGGTTTAGACAGTGATCGTGGGTTCTTTCGACACCCTTTCTACCAGGCAATCAATCTAGCTTTCTGTCAGAGACCTTCGGTGTCCCCCAATATGCTTTTCTGTTTGTCCGGTTGATCCCAACATTTTTATCCAACTGCAGAAGGTAATCAGGTTTACTTTCAATATGCGTGCAACATGCTTCCAGTCGTGTCCCTCTTCGTAAGTCTTAAATATTACCTTCTTCACCTCCGTCGTGCCGCGTACGTATGCCTTTTTTGTGACATTCGGAGCAGAGCAAACTGTTGCATCGATTGCAAGATTCTACTCAACTTAGTGTGCCTATGTAGTTAACTTCACCGTTACGTTAGTCACCGTACCAGTGCAGTCGGCAGCAAGCACATCACGTGATCTCATGTCGCGAACACAGTCCATGGGTATGGCCCATACGTGTGCACACGTGCAATGTGTCACATGGCGCATGCAATGCAGCTTCAAGCGTGACCGATGCAAGCATTTGAGTATAGGATGTAAGAAATTGAGAAAGGGTATAGTGCTACTTAGCCATGGTGTCAACGCCTGCTGACTGTGAGTGGAATATGATGAATTACCTCTGAATTATACAGAAATCCCCACTACTCATTAGTACTCTAAAATAAAGCCGTCCGTATAGCTTCTAAGGGCTGTGTCGTACACAGTCGCTATGCGGAAACTTCTAGCTCCTGGGGCTAACTGTTGTCCTCTGCACAGTTCATAACCGGCATGATACTGGAAGATGAGCCGGGTTACACCATGGCCAACTGTCAGTCATGCAAGTCGGCGGCCGTTACCCATCGCTAAGTGGCACTAGCTGCCTGCATCCGGATGTCATGAGGTCGGAACCCAGCAGGGGTCCGAGGAAGGCACACCACTGACGAGACCCAGTAGGTCGAAATAACGCTGTCTGGTGTTTTCCAGACGTGCCAACACCTGCCGACTGAGAGTGGACTATGATGAATTGCCACTATAATCGATTCTTTCCAGTTAACCGGGACGGTCTCTTCCTTCCAGGCTTGTTCGAACAGAGCGGGCAGTGCTTTGCAGTGGACCTCACTGCCATCCTTAACTAGTGTGGGTTCGAGGGAATCTGTGCCAGCAGCTCGGAAACGACTAAGGGCTTTGATCGCGTTTCGGACCTTCATCTCCGATGGAGCCTCTAAACTAATCGCCCATGGCCTAGCCTGCACCGGCTGAGTTGGAAGGGGTCTGTGAGCAAGGGACAACTGAACTGCTCTCAAAAGTGCTCCGCCCAACGAGCCATACGGCATGCTTTATTGTGAATCCGGGCACCTGCGCTCTCTCTGATTGTCTCGTTACACCTGTTTTCCTGCGACCGGTGGTGCGGATCAACCGGAAGAGCTTGCGATAATTGCCT